CCCTCTCCCTCTCCCTCTCCTTTCCTCTCTGTCTAAAGTCAGTAAAAACATACTAAAAAAAAAAATTCTGTGGTAATTGAAAATTGGATATACTATAAATAAAAAATGAGTACATTTGCTATTTAAAACAAATACTTAATGACTAGGAAAGTGGAATAAAGCATAAATAGCAGTATTATTATAGCTATCAAGTTAATTTAATATATCGTTAATTTACTACCAATTATCACTCAACAAGATATTAATAATTCCTTTGAAATTCATTAATTTGTTCTTTTTTTAAATTCCCAAAGCTTATTTTCCCTGTTTCCCAATGCATTTTGTTCTTTTTTTTTTTTTTAAATCCTTACCGGAGGATTTTTTTTTCCATTGCTTTTCAGACAGAGTTAGAAGGAAGAGAGAGAGAAACATCGATGTGAGAGAAAGAGACATTGATTGGTTGCCTCCTGCACACACCCTGACCACTGGGACTGGCAACCGAGATACATGCCCTTAGCTGAAATCGAACCCGGGGCCCTTTAGTCCTCAGGCTAACACTCTTACCACTGAGCAACTGGCTAGGGCTCCCAGTGCATTTTGAATGGGAGCTCCTAAGATGAAGCAATACAAAGAGGTGCAACTTTATTGTTTGTAAAGAGAAAAAAGATTCATAATGTGGCAGCTTAGAATTTTTAATTGTTAGCAAGATGTCAGCATTTTTAATTTTAATGGTAGAATGTGGATTTTTTTGGGGGTGCAGGATAGTTTTCTGTACTTGTGAAATATTTTATACTTTTAAAAAAGGTCATTTTCCTCTTTCACGTTGGAGACCTTGGGGTGAGGGCTATGTGATTTCCAGTATAAAATAAAAATAATAAGTGTAACTGAAATTAGGCAAGATCCTATATCTATCTATCTTGGAGAAAATGTTTAATGCCTACAGAGAAGTTAATTTAATTTCTTTCTTATGGTCATAGGGCTACGCACCACCACCTAAAAATGGGATTGAACAGAAGCGTCCTGGACGCCCTTTGAATATTACATCTTTAGTTAGGTTGTCTTCAGCTGTGCCAAACCAGATTTCCATTTCTTGGGCATCAGAAATTGGAAAGGTAAAGATTCTCTCCTGGACACCATAAAAGTAATCCCACTAGGAGTTGATTTATTTTGTTTTTTCTTAGACTACTAGCTCCAGCTTGTTCCGTTTTCTGATTATAATCTCTAAAAAGCAGTGATTTTCAGTTTAGGGTGGAGGTGTGGAGATTCTTACGGTTAAAAACTTTTAAGGTTTCCTGAGTATCATCTGTTTATTTTCCTGTAATGGAAATAAGTATAATTACAACATTTCTTGAGATAATGGTTTAATCATAATTGTGTTGAAATAGTATGTTAAGAAACTGGAAACTTTGGGTGATGTTTTGTATTTCTGAAGAGGAACAAAGAAGCTTTATCTGGTTTTGGGGAAAATAGTTAAATGTACTCAATGTTGTAATGAGAAATAGCCCTTACGTAAGCACCTGATACTTCAGATAAAATGTGGACATCTCTTGAAAACATTTACTTAGAATTATATTATTTTCTCTATAACTTTAGGTTGATGAACTGGCTTTCTGCTGATTCTTAGTTTTAAAATGCATTATGTCAGTTATGAGATACTGATTAGTACAAGGGATTTTCATTTTAGAACTCTTTGTTCATATAACTGAAATAATAGAATGGCAAAAAACTTCAGTTAATTTCTGCACATAAACTTTAATGTTGCTATTTCATAGAAAAAAGGGGTACTATTTTCTGTTTTATGAATAGAGAATTGAGTTATATGTTTGTAGCAAGGATTATTTGGTTTTATTACCAACGTAATTGCAGAGCTGGACATAAAGCAGAATATTTTTGTATTAATTTTTGGACTATAAAGATAATACTCTCTCTTTAATGATTGTTCTCTTGAACTCTCATTTCAGAATTTTTACTATAACATCAGTATTATAGGATACTGATTTCTAGTATTTTTCATTTGCATGAACTGAATGTCAGTGGTAAAGCAGTGGATGAGGAGTCAGAAAAACTTGGCTTGGCCTCAAGTTGGCCACTGTTTGATTTTGGCAAAGTTGCCTAATTCCCTGAGGCCTGTGTATTATAAAGGATAAGTAAAATCTTGAGAGTGAGTGTTGTGCACAAATATAAGGGGCATTGTTAAATGAGCAAGTATTAATGCCTGAAAGGTTAGTGAGAGGAATTTTAATAGAACACTATATCTTTTTGAAATGATTACTAACTTTCAGGTTTTTGAATAAATGATTGTAGACATTGAAGACCGGGTAGTTTTTTTCTTTTTACCACATAATGGGAATAATATTCTTTCTTTGTAATTAAATGATTAATTGACTTAAAATTTGCACACTATATTGGGTATTCATTCACATAGTTAAAAGGGCCGTTTTGGGACATTAAAAATAATATTAAAATAATTGCTTTTGCAACTACTGAAAGTATTTTCTTAGTGTAGAATTGATTGAATTTATATATGTAGTGAAATGATAAAATAGATTTTTAACATTTTGGTAAAATTATATTTCATCCCTTTAGAGCTCTATAAATAGCGAATGAAGGTTCTTCTGTGCCAGATCTAAGAGTTATGGGAATAACGCTATTATATTCTGGTCTTATCTTTTTAAATTTTATCATTTCTTCATGTGTCTTACATACTCCAGTAGCTCCCCTTTTCCTAGTAAAATGCCCATTTCAGAACAGGAGTTAATTTGTCAGTTTCGTTCAGTAGAAAGCTGATTTTGGGTTCATTTAAATGATTGCTCAAGGCCATGAAGCAAGAGGTCTTTTCTTTCAGAATCAAAACTTTGGAATTCTGGATTTGAAGTTTTCAGACTGCTGGAGTTTGAACATTCTGCAGTGGAGCTCATTTTTCATTGAAAATATTATGAGAGACCATACATAAAAACAGAAAAATTCTAGTTAGAAGTCGGCATGGGAGGGTACATTTTTATTCCCTGAGGTATCAGTTTTGCTAGATTAGACACACAGTTCGAAAGTCACTGATCTAAGCTATGTTATCGTTCACATGGATGTTTTAAAATGGTAAGTGATTGAGAAATACCTTTAATATGATTGAGCTTTTATCTTCCCTAAAGGAGCTGATTTTGTTTCCTTAGCATCCATTGACCTTCCTGTGGAAGTTATTTTGAATGTCATTTTTAGAAACCAGAGGTTCTTAGACAAGTATTTTATGTAAATAAAGAGACTATTATCTCTCGTCTTTAATACAGATTATCTTTCTTTGTAGAATTACTCCATGTCTGTATATCTTGTACGACAGCTCACATCAGCCATGTTATTACAGAGATTAAAAATGAAAGGTATTAGAAACCCTGATCATTCCAGAGCACTAAGTAAGTAATATTTGTAAGATTGAGCATATGAGATGCTTTAATGGAAAAAAAAGCCTCACATATACATCAATGTAGGAATAATTTAGGAACAATTATTAGAAATCTAAAATGAATATTGAATTAAAAATACTCCAAGAACACAGCCCTATAAATTGAAAAAACTCTTCTCTTAGAATCTACTCCCAAGAGGATCAATTTTAAATTCCAACTAATCTGATTTTGGGCCTTCTCATGAAAACTTATTTAAATAAACATCAAGTTCATGGTAGTTTTGATGGATACATTGACTTGAGAATAGGAATGCAAGTTTTCAAAACCTCCAGTATTTAATAGAATGTACATTTTTAAAAATTTTAAATAATCAAAAGCTCTTGCTAAAGAAAGGCTGATATCCACCAACAATATTTGCCTTCTGCGATGTTTTATTTTGTACTTTGCCTTTTTTTAAATTATTATTTTTATTTTAAAATATATCTTTACTGATTTCAGAGAGAGGAAAGGAGAGGGAGAGAGAGAGAGAGAAGCATCAATGATGAGTCATTGATCGAGTCCACAACCTGGGCATGTGCCCTGACCAGGAATCGAACCCTGATCGCCTGGATCCTAGGTCGACGCTCAACCGCTGAGCCACGCCCGGCCGGGCTGTACTTTGCTTTTTAATAAATGTTTTTATTGATTTTTTAGAGAGAGAGGAAGGGAGAGGGAGAGTTAGAAACATGGATCGGCTGCCTACTACACAACCCCTAAACCCCTAGTGGGGATCAAGCCTGCAACCCAGGCATCTTCCCTGACTGGGAATCAAACCAACAACCTCTGTGTACTTTGCTTTGCTAATGTATAATAATAGGTAGAGAAAAAAGTCTAACCCAAACTGTAAGTAGTTCAGTAACTAAATTTAATTGAACACGACATTTTTCTGGGAAAGAGAATATTTTACACTCAATTACTTCCCATACCACTGAATGAACCTGAAAGTAGAAAGGGACCTATAGATTGAAAAGGGAACCAAATTGGGCTTTTGAAATGGTATTTTGTTTCTTATAACTTAAACCATTTGTCATCTTAAACAGCACACTATTGATCTTCTTAACCTACACCTGGAAGCCAGGGAAGCCCTTCCCTAATTTTTCTTGCCCCACTCCAGTTCCACTGTCTCTAGTTCCAGTCTCATTTTCCCTCCCTATTATGGTGTTGAGAATTAGGCATCTGAATGTGATGCAGATATTTATTAGCTTCTATATGCAATAATTTGTATACATTACCTGGTGAATGAAATCACAGGCACATTACTACACCCATACTAATTTTCAGTTGTCAAAGAAAGTATAAGAATATTTTACCCTTCTGTTTACAAAGTTAGTAATTATTGGAAACAACCAAGACTCCTTAATAAAAATAGTCATGAATGTGTGTTAGAAAAGCATTGAAGCTGAGAGTACTGCTGCTTTCCAACCTTTCCTAATTGTTTTGTTCTTAAATCTTAAACAGCTTTCTTTTTTGAAACTCTTCTTAGCTGCAATTTTACTTTAAAAAATTCAGTTAGACATGTGATATAGAGTTTGCAAGTTTGCAATTCTTTAACCTAATGAAAGTATGATTGTGTTTTCAATACGTTACTACTTAACATTTTGTTTGTTTTGTTTTTGTAGTTTCTTGACCTATTCAGAGTGTTTGAGAAACTTTAAATAAGATGATACATATTTCTATAATTATGTTCATATGTCACAATTAATTTAAAAATTTTTTATTGTTATTTTTCCTTCTTTTTAAAGTTAAAGAAAAACTTACTGCAGATCCTGATAGTGAAATTGCTACAACTAGCCTTCGAGTATCCTTGATGTGCCCTGTAAGTAAAGCAACAAAACATTCTGGGGTGTTTTACTTTTTATAAATTACTAATTTTCCTATAAAAGTAAATGTGGGAATGAATGATATATTATGATAAAATTCTGAACTTTTGTCGTTTTCCCACTCAGGAATCTTCATGATTAAGCATTGTAATTCCAAAGAATGCAAACCTCCTTCAGTCAGTGACTAAGCAAGAAGAGACCTAAAAGGATATTTTATCCTAGGGGAAGAGAGCTTTTAGGTTCAGAATAATGTTACAGTTAATGCTGTAGATAATACACAGCTAATAACCTATAGAGAGAGTTGCTCCTTTTATTAGAATCTAAACTGTAATAAAATTGCTAGGGCCTAGTAAATGCTAATTGATGGTTCTTCTTTAATGAGTTAGAATGTGTGAGATGTCTTAATTCATTTGCAATGTACTTCTAAATTGCACAATAATTTTTACTTCATATCTCCTAACATAGAGACCATGGGAGAGAATCAGTCAGCAACTCAGATACTCCTATGTGCTTGGTACTGAGCTAATTGTGGGAGAAAATACTGAAGACGATAAAACGTTTTCAGAAAGTTAATAGTCTAGTTTGAGAGAGAGAGCCAACTCAAATGAAAAAGCAGAAGACTGTACTTACCACATATCATTATGCTATTGGAGTGCCAGAGAAGAGATGGGAAAGGTCAGGAGTAGTGGGCGAAGGCTTCTTTAAAATCAGTACTGTTGCAGAGAACCTTTCCATATGAGAGGGACTTTATATGGAATCAGGAATTTGTAATGTAGTTAGAGGGCATTTGGTGACTAGCCACCATTGTGAGAAATGTACAGGGTGGGGAAAAAGTAGGTTTACAGTTGTATGTGAAACACAGAGTTTATTCGTATATTATTATTAATTAATTATTGTATTTTTTCCTTATGAACAACTCTAAACCGACTTTTGCTTCAGACAGAGAGAAAGAGAAGGGAATAATTTGTCAAGTTCCTGTTATGTGCTCCTTATTTAGCTGCCTTAGCAAACCTGTATGGGAGTTGTTCTCATTTTGCAGATGAGGAAACTGAGACTGAAAGATTGGCTAACCCAGCTCACATAGTAGTAACTAGTAGAATAAGGATAGCAATTTTGGTCTTCTGGCATCGTTTCAGTTCTCTTAATAATATACCATATTCTACATTGGGCTAAAATAGAAATACCCTGATTATAAGTCCATCTCTCTACCATCCTGGAAAGTGGTATTTGCAGATATTTTTCTTCTGTAGCTTTATTTTTTAAAATTATCAGTAACTTTAACTTACCTTTATTGAAAAGGAATAGAATTACATGACATTGGGATTGCTTAGAAATTGAGAACCTTTTCGTTGTCAAACCCAGAGGGAAGTCTGTAGTCCCAGCAGGGAAGGATGTTAATGCCCCGAGGTGATGGCAGAGGCCCTAGAAGGCATGTGCTTGGACCCAGGACCTCCTCTATTCATAAGCTTTGTGCAAGTCAGGCATACATTTTGATCCTTCATATCATATACTTTATATCAATTATGATATCTTCATATTGTAGTTTTTTTTGTACTGATATATGTGAAAAAGTCACCAAGTTATATTATGTTACAAGGTTCAAAATTATATGTATTGCACACTGCCATTCCTGTGAAAATTTTTTTAAAACACTTGATTATGCATGGAATATCTATGAAAGGACATATAAGAGATGGATAACAGTGGTTCTCTAAATAGGGGAACAGGAGAGGAGACATGTTTTCGTTGTATATGGATCTTTTCCTACCTGTGAATTTGTTCCCTTTTTCAAAAAAGTGAAATGATTTTTTAAAAATTATAGGACAGTCAGTGAATACTGATAAAATATATAGCAGTCTTGATGGAATAAATTCTGTTTTGAATTTCCTTTTCATTTTGATCTTGTTTGACCTCTTCAGACTTTTATGACTATTTCCTTTGAGGCTTTGTTTTCCTCTCTGAAATGTTTTCCTGTGTTTTCTTTCTTGCCTGTAGTTAGGGAAGATGAGGCTGACAATCCCATGCCGAGCAGTGACTTGTACACATCTACAGTGTTTTGATGCTGCCCTTTATCTGCAAATGAATGAGAAGAAGCCCACCTGGATTTGTCCCGTGTGTGATAAAAAAGCTGCCTATGAAAGTCTAATTTTAGATGGGTAAATATTAGCTTTGTCTCCATTCATTACAGCCTCATATAAATTCTCCTCTAGCATAAAGTCAAGATGTTTACATGTTTTCTGCTTTATAATACTCAATCTTATTTTTAAACTGTGATTAGTGGCCCTTTAATCTTTATGATTTCTGTTAGGGGCAAGAGGGAGAATAGTTTCCTTTTCTTTTTGCTGCCCAAGATCATATTTCATAGCCTGTCCTAAAGAGGGGAAAGTCCACTTAGTGATGTCATTTTGCTTGCCTAGAAATTCTTGAAGAGCAACTAGGATTTATGCAGAAATGCGGAGCACGCAAAAGGGTAGATAGAATTGTGATATGCAGCTGGTAAGTTCAAAACTGGGATTCACACCCAGGTTTTTCTGACTCTGGAGTCCAAACCCTAAGCATTATCTCTTATATTCCATAGGTCAGAATTAAGGAAAATGATAAGAACTAATTATCAATAAGTGAGGTACCCGTTTTTTGAATAACACTTTTTAAAAATTGCATATATCATCCGTGCACCAGTATAAGATTTAGAAAATACAGTTAATGAAAAGATTAAAATCATTAGCACTGCATCCTGTGGTGGTGATTTTTGTTATCAATGTAAGATTGAAATCATGCTTTACATACGACTTGCATGTATATTTGATTTTCACTCAATATAGAGTGAAATGTATCTTAGATCTTTAAAGATACTTGTACAACAATTTTTTTTAAAAAATAGTGCTTTTTTTATTGATTTCAGGGATAGGGAGGGAGAGGGAGAAAGAGAAACATCAGTGATGAGAATGATCAATTGGCTGCCTCTTGCACGCCCCCTACTGGGGATTGAGCCCACAACCTGGACATGTGCCCTGACCTGGAATCAAACTGTTACCTCCAGGTTATGGGTTGACTCTCAACCATTGAGCTACACGCACCAGGCGTACAACAATTTTTTTTTAAGTTTTAAAAGAATATATAGTAGAGAGGCATGAGACAGTGAAGAACAAGTGGGACTTTCACTTTTCTCATTATAAACTTTTACTTTTTAAATCTTTTTAACTTATTTTGAAATAATTTTGACTTACAAAGAAGTTGCACCCATAGCACAAAGAGCCTACCATGTAACTTTGACCGAGGTACATCAGTTGTTAACATTCTATTATATTTGTTTTATCACGTTCCCTCTTAATACATAGTTATATACACAGTTTTGGTCTATGCATGTGTGTGTGTAGAAAGAAAGAAAGATGATTATTACTGTTTTCAGAATTCTTTTGAACCATTTGAGAATAAGTTGCATATGTCATGCCTCTGCCCATTAATATTTTAGGACATGTTTCCTAAATACTTCATATTCCATTATATGGGTATACTACTAATCATTTAAACATTTTTGTCCATTATTGATCATATTGTTTGCTTCTACTTTTTCTGTTTTAAGTTGCCCTGTGATATGAACATTTTTGAAGCTTTTTTGTGTATGTCTATGGATTTTCCTTAAGTTCTTAGAAATTGAAATGCTCAAAGAGAAAATATAATTTTAAGGCATTTACTATTGATTATTAAGATGCCTCCTAGGAAGTAGTAAAGTATTTTACTCGTCTAGTAAGTCATTTTACTCTCCTGCCAGTAGTGTATTAGAAACTTGCTACCTCAGCCTTCTTAACCAGTCAGTCATACCATATTAAATTTTATTTTTTAAATGCTGTTGCCAATTTTCTAGTGAAAAGATACCTTATTATTTTGATTTCTGTTTCTTGTAAGAATTATCAGACATTTCTTCATCAATACATTGGCTGTTATAATACCTTTTATGAATTGCTTCTTAATGTTTCTTTTCCTCCCCATTTTTTAATGTGTTTGTTCGTCTTTTACTTAGTGATCTATAAGTGGTCATTATATTTTGAGGTTATTAATTTTTGTGTCCACATGTGCCAAATATATTTTCCCAGTTTGCCTAATTGTATTTATTGTGATATATGTGCCATTCAGAAACTTTGAATTTTTATTTCATCAGGTCTTTCTTTTCATTTTGAATTTCTGTCTTTCATGTGTTTAGAAAATCCCAGAGATTTTATATGTACATTTACTTGTTTTTAGTCAGGTACTTTTAAGATTTTGTTGTTTTATTTCTTTTCAATTGTGCAGTTCTTCATTCCATCATGCTTTCCTTCATAAATTTCTTCAACAAAGTACTTATTAAATACCTGGTTGTTGCTACTACATAGAAATGTAGTTGATTTTAGTATATTGCTCTCGTATCTTGAAACATTACTAAACTCACTTTGTAGTTCTAGTAACTTTATTTTACAGTAACATTTATGAAGAGAGATAGTTTTACTTCTTTTTAATCTGGATGCCTTTTGTGTCTTTGTCTTGCTATCTTGAACTGACTGACTAGTCTGTTAACATTATGATTTACGTTGATTGGCTTTCAAATATTAAACTAACTGTGCATTCTGAGGTTAAACCCCAGTTGGCCATGATTTGTTAATCCTTTTTATTTATTGTTGGGTTTGTTTGGCTAAATTCATGAGGAATATTGGTCCTGTTTTCTTTTAATGTCTTTGTCTGGTTTTAGTATCAGAGTAATGCTGGCCTTATACAGTAAGTTGGGAAGTGGTGGTGTTGTGTGTCCTCGGATATTTGGTAAATTGCCTAGTGAAGATGCTTGGGCCAGAAATTTTTTTTTTGTGGTAAAGTTTTTAACTACAAATTCAATTTCTTTAACAGACATAGAGCTCCTCAGGGTGTGTATTTCTTTTTAAGTGAGCTTGAGTGTAAGTTTGTCAATTTTATTGACCTTAAAGTACCAGCTTTTTGGTTTCATAGGTTTTTCTCTATTTCATTTGTTTTTGTTTGCTTGTTGTTTCTCATTTCTTGTTTACTTTCACTTTAATTTGTTCTTTGTTTTCTAGTTTCGTTTAGGTAGAAGCTGAGCTTATTTATTTGCATTCTCCTAATCTAAAGATTAGTGCTATAAATTTTCCTCTAAGTATTGTTTTAGGTACATTTCACAAATTTTATTATATTTTTACTTTCATACTAAAAAAATACTTGCTAAAAACGGTCAAAATACTTGCTAATTTGTTTTTATGTTTCTTTGTCTCATGGGTTGTTTCATTTACTTTTTCAAATATTTAAGGATTTTCCAGGTATTTTTCTGATGATTTCAAATTTTATTTTATTTTGGTCTTAGAACATAATTTGTATGCTTAGTTACTTAAATTTACTGAGAGTTATATCTCTATTCTTCTGTCCCCCACCCCTATGATTCTTTTTCCTTGACAATAAGCTTATAAGTTATTTTTTGTATAATAACCTTTATGTTTGCTTATGTATATTTTATGTGTAGTATTGAAGGTTGTTCTTTACTGCAATCTTAGTTATGAGGTGTCTGTTTCTGTTTAGCCACTAATTTTTTAGATGACTCAGTAAGTCACTTAATTCTTTTATTGCCCATTAAAGATCTAAAACCTAGGAGGAAGCGTTATAATAGTTGTCCTAATGTCTGAAGTATTGAAATACCAAAACAAACAAACTGAAGTTAGCATTACTTTTGTCTCCAAGGTAATAAGTATGTATTTGTTATAATTTCACCTTTGAATAAGGCCATTGATTACATTTATCTTCTTAATTGGTTTATAGGCTTTTTATGGAAATTCTCAGTGACTGTTCTGATGTGGATGAGATCAAATTCCAAGAAGATGGCTCTTGGTGTCCAATGAGACCGAAGAAAGAAGCTATGAAAGTATCCAGCCAGCCGTGTACAAAAATAGAAAGTATGTATAGAATGGCAGTAAGGAGCACAGCAGTAAGACTTCTGTAGTATTATCTGTATCGTTAATGCTGAACTACATTTGGAGCTCAGTTTGCTAACTCTATCATCTATTATATATGCAATTTCCCCAACCGATTTTTATTTTTTCCTTAAGAAATTTCCTGAAGTTTATGTACCACCTTATAATCAGCCTTTTTATAGTTATTTTTCATGTGTAAAGTAAATGAAACAATCACCTAAAATTATTTTAATATATGGTGTTTGTTGCAAAGTGAAAAGTTATAAATAACATTTCTATGAGCAGTTTTTCAGAATTGTTTTCAGAGTACCTGTTGAGGAAACCCTAAGTGGAGGTGTGGCTAAAGAGGCTACTTCATCCATTAATGGAGGGTAGGGGGAGGTGGTCAAAGGTTAGTTGCTTAAAAAAAAGTGGGAAGGAATTTTACCATTGCCTTGGTTATTTAACTCCCTGCACCTGTCCACACCCAGTGGGGAAACTAAGGGCAGTTTGAGTAATTGAAACCCATAGGTGAACTTAAAGCTTCTTTTTATCTGACGTAGTCTACTCACTACATTTGAGTTTTGTGTTGACTTTAATTAATGATGTAACAATGTAATGGATAATAGATGTTCAAAGTAAGAAGAGAGGAAAAGTAAAGGATTAATGTCAATGTTAATCAGTCTCCTGTGATTATTACTGAATCTGTGGGTGGGATGATCAAGGTTTCCCCTCATTTTTAAGAAAAATAGTGATTTAGTTGATTACTTGCTGTTGCTTTTCCATTATGAACTAGCATTCATTTGCTACAAAATAGATTGCAGGGCATAATATACTTCTTTGAAATGGTGAGTTAGCATAAAGTGTATGAGACTATCATAACGGCAGAAAGGAGAACCTAGGTGATTAGTAGATAATTGATAAGAAAAGTTTTAATTATGTCTGAATAACAAGTGAGAAGTTTGGGGTTTTTTCAAGGTGAAAATTTTTATCAAGTTCTGGTTTATGGTGAAGAGCCTATGCATTCTTTCACATGAGTACCCTTGCTTTGCTAGAATGGAAATATCTGATTATGATTGAACATTTCCACATGTCTGTGAATACACAGTGAAACCACATATTCTTGTTCATGGCCAGAGATCAGCCCCCTAACTCCAGACGTCTGTTTATACAATGACTGCTTGCTTTTGGAGACAGCGTGAGCAGCAGGATATGTGCATATCCATTGGTGGTACCAGGGAGATAACTAAGAGCATGTTTGAAGGCAGTTTTTGGCTCTCTGTCAAGGCCTAGAGGTCACCCTGTTTCCCCAGGTTAGTAATTATTTTATAGAGAGATGTCTGGAATTAGGGAGTTGGTCTCTTTACATAGGACAGAGATGTGACTTTACTGGCTGTGTGTTCTCCCAGGCATGCTGCACAATTAAGATTCCTATGGCTAGAGTTTGTGTCACACCTTTGAATTTTTTTTTGGTGTTCCTTAACATGCAGGTTCAAGTGTCCTCAGTAAGCCTTGTTCAGTGACTATAGCCAATGAGGCAAGCAAGAAGAAAGTGGATGTTATTGACCTAACAATAGAAAGCTCTTCTGATGAAGAGGAAGACCCTCCTGCCAAAAGGAAGTGCATCTTTATGTCAGAAACACAAAGCAGCCCAACCAAAGGGTTTGTTAATTTATAGTTCACTACTGTTTATTACACTTCGAACTAATTGTTACTGGGATAGCTTTGTAAGTCTCTTTGATAGTTGCATAATCATAGAAGGCTACTATAACTTGCCTTTGTTCAGTTGAAATATTTTCAATATTTTAATGAAGAAAATATTCCCATCTTTGGGAAATGAAAGTTGAAATCTTCTCATGTGTAAGTATTTCATATAAGTAGCAAATTTGTCATCACAGACCAACAGAAGGAAGCCTGGTGTATGGAGTGTGGAATTAGGAACCCAACAGTGTGGATTCCAATTTTGATACCATTGCTTACTCATTCTCTGATGTTGGATGAAATGCTTAACTTGCTTGAGCTTCCTTTCTCTGTTCTGTAAAATGGGGTTAAGGAATGCCTGCTTCATGAGATTATTTTCAGGTTTAAATAAGATAATGAAAGAACTTAGCCTCAGTGTCAGGCACATGGTAGTTTTTCAATGAAGATTGATTGCCTTCCCTTCTCACCCTCTCCAGGGCAAAATATGGGCAAGTTAAATGCCTTCTAGCTTGTATTCTTTACGATTCATCAGGCAGAAGCCATTGCTGACCTATAATAAGCGACAAGTTTGAGCATTTAGCAATAGGTATTTCTTAGAGATTTTGGAACCTGCAAGAAAGTGGCAAAGGGTTCTCTTGACATCCCATGAACACATTCTTTCAAACTTGGGTGTACTGGTGGTGTCTTTTTGGCCTTTCAGTGCACTTATTTTTTCTAATAGCTTTATTGGGGTATAATTTACATAACATAAAATTCTTCCATCTTAAATATTCAGTTGCACAATTCACTGATTTTAGTAACTTCATAGAGTTGTACAGTCATCGCAATTAAATTATAGAATATTTCCAACACCCAGTAAACTTATGTGTATTTGCAGTTAATCGCTATTTGCATCCCAAATCTAGACAGCCATTGATCTTTTTATCTCTATAAATTTGCCTGTTCTAGACATTTTATATAAATGGACAAATGGACTTACTTTTTTTTTTTTTTATCCTCACCCGAGGATATTTTTTTCCATTGCTTTTCAGAGAGAGAGAAACATCGATTGGTTGCCTCCTGCTCACGCTCTGACCAGGGCTGGGAATGGAGCCTGCAACCAAGGTACATGGCCTTGGCTGAATCGAACCTGGGACTGACGCTCTACTACTCAGCCAAACTGGCTAGGGCCTAAAATACTTCTATTCCCAGAAGTGATTTACACATCACAGTAAGGATATATATAATTTTTACCCATTTAACCAAATGTGTTATTTTTTTTTAGTGGAACAGAAAATGAGAAAAGTATTTCAAGTGAGTTTTTTCTGGAATGCTGATGATTTATTTCTCCTTTCGTAATTTAAATGTTAAACAAAAATGAAAATGTAATTTTGAAACATTTGTTGGAGCAGAGAATCATGGCAATGAACTTAGATGTGGTATTTCCATATTTTACTTTCTAATATTATCCTTTAGAATATGCCTGGAAAACACAGGTTTCATAGTATTATAGTTAGATCGGTTTATACCAGGTTGAAGGGTTGTGCATAGTGATGCTGACTCATGAATTTATGTGATCTTGGAGGTTGTCTCTGGTGAATGCCATATGAGGGTCTTCTGTCTGTCTCTCCTTTAGCACATTTTTACCAGTATTTGATGAGGACACGAAACTGGAGGAATGGCATATACATTGGGTGACAATTTGAAATGGCTTATACATGCAAAGAAATAGGGATAGTTCACCCCTATGATCAGCTACCATAGAAACAAATGTAAGGCTCCTCATCTAGGTTAAAAAGAAAACAAAAGCTAATATTGTAAATATATGGTGGAAATTGAATGTTGCTTTGTCATTAATATGGAGGATACAAAAAATACAGATAAATAATGCATTTCTCTGGATTAAGGATCATTAGGAATTGGTTGCAAAATTGAAACTTTTAATATTTTTATGATCGTAAAGTGAGAAGGGAGCACACGGTGAATTTCAGGTTTTGGGATAACAGTTCAAGTTATTGAATTGTTAACCCATTTTTAGATATTTAAGTCTGGACCAAGTATGATAAATTTAATGATCGAGTACACAGTCTAGAGTACTAATATTCACTATCTAGCAGCATTCTAGCAATTTACCTTTGTGCTGTGATATGAATAAAGCTATAAAACTTAAAAATATATATGTGTACATTGAAATGTATACATACATATGCCTGTGTATTGCCAGTTCTCTGAGGAGGCAATAACAAATGGTAAAAGCTTTTAAAGAATTTTTATAACTTTATACCATCACACTTCTATACTCTCAGTTTCAGCAGGCATAGCCATTTGCATTTTTCCAAATCCCTGTTATTCCGTATCTATAGTTATATCTGCTCTTTTTTGCACAGGCATTTGACTCATTCACCTTTCTGAATGTGAGCCTTATGAGGATTATGGTTAAAGCAGAAATGTACTCTCAGTACATAATTTGATAATCGTAACAAGTGACTAATTTCACCCATTCTCTACCAAGGTGAATTGGTGTTAATGGTTGCAAAGTTCAGGTAATAGGAATTAACCTATACTCTAGTTCAGGTTTTCAGATGTTTGCTGAGGTTTTATTTTTTTTTATTTTTATTTTTTTATTTTTATTTTTTTAATGTTTATTGAATTTTTTGGGTGACATTGGTTAATAACATTATACAAGTTTGAGATGTGCAATTCTTAAGACATCATCTGTACATTGTACTGGGTGTTCACTACCCAAAGTCAAGTCTCTTTCCGTCACCATTTACTCCCCTTTACCTGCCTCCACCTCCCTTCACCCTCCCCCCTGCTGAGGTTTTAGATGTTGATTTAACAATTTCTACGCTCACTGGATTTTAACATTTTCACATGGTTGTGACTGACATTTTGTATTGGAGAAACAAGGAAAGTTAGTTAATCATTTAAAGTAAAGTTTCATATTATGAGAACAGAACACCCAATAATTAGATGTGACTATTGTGACAGTGTTGGGATGTTGATCTGACTCCTCTACGGATAAAAGTAAAAGGTGGGGGAGGAAAGTGCGTTTTGTTGTTTCCTGTACATCTGATTCAAATTGAGCATTTAAATTTGGGATCAAAAGAAAAGAAAATATCCAGTGTGAGATGTCAAAAGAAGACAAGGGGGAGCCAGGAGGAAGGTGGGCACGGTATTTATTTATTTATTTTAATAAACCTGAACATTTTCTTTAGGTTTCTTTCCATGTCAGAGAAACAGTAAAAAATCATAGATTAAAATGTATTTTTAAGTAGGAACTTTTAAAAATAAATGAAATCATATATATGTGTGTATGTGTATTGCATGTATGTGTATATACAGGGTGGGGCAAAAGGAGGTTTACAGTTGTGAGTACTTGAAACACAATTTATCCTTGTATTATTTATTAATTATTGTATTTCCCATATGAACAGTTGTAAACCTCCTTTTGCCCCACCCTTTATGTATATATATGTCTTCAAAAACTTGCCTCTTAAATATTTTTAAAAATACAAATAAGATTAATATTGTGAGGCATCCAGAATAATACAAGACACTTTTTAAACTTCCCTTTTCAGCACTAACATACCGATCTCTCTTTTTCTCACTTCCTATGCTCCCTCCCTCAATTTCTGGTACCCATTCCTGTGTGGGAAGTAGGATCATGTGTAACTTGAAAACACTTTCTGCAATTTCTTGTTCTTCTACTTTCATTCCTGTAGAGGATGACTTTTTCAAACTTACAGAAAAAATATGTGCTTTAATACAATGTATTTGCTCTCATCCCAAGTTCTCTCCTCCCCCCTCTAGCGCTTGCCTTTTCCAACATTGTTCACCACCTGTCTATAGTGTTAGTTCTCCAGAAATCATTGGAGGCCAAGAAATCTGATTCTAAGCTAAGCAAGCTGCTCTTTGGAAGATGACTTCCTTTCATCTTCACCTACTTCTGGAAAATGTTTTTGAAACACCAGGCTTATATTATTGTCTTAAGCATATTTCCTGTGTCTCCTAAATGGATCTATTTAATTAATTAACTAATTAATTAATTAAATATATCTTTATTGATTTCAGAGAGAGGAAAGGAGGGGGAGAGAGAGAGATAGAAACATCAATGATGAGAGAGTCATTGATTGGCTGCCTAGCCCGCAACCTGGACATGTGCCCTGACTGGGAATCGAACCCTGATCTCCTGGATCCTAGGTCAATGTTCAACCACTGAGCCATGCCCGGCTGGGCTGTGGATCTATTTTTAAGATTTCTGAACTCTGACCTATGTTATTTATTCATTTTGTTTTTTAGACTAAGTTGCCAACGCAGTCATATATATTTTCCTAGGATGACTTCATTTTGCACATTTTCCAGTGACATTCATATTATTGATATAGTAAAGATCCTCATGTCATAATGCAAATTAGTTTTGGATTTTTCTTTAGGGGATTCAAATGTCTAAATAGGTTGTGATTATTTAAGTAGTTTGAGATTTAAATTGAGGTTATTAAATAGTTTTGTTAGTTTATAGAGTATTAAGAGTGCCATGCAACTATGTTGTTTATTGTTAACTAGTATTTAATAATCTGAGCAATAACAGGAAGTGTTTCAACCAAGAGAAAGGGCATCTAGAGGTCCTACTTTAAGTTTCTGTCGATTTTACTTTCTTCGTCTTTGTTGTAGTCCTTCCCAGCTACAAAATTCTGAGCCTCTCAATAAGCTTATCGTTTTCTGGCAGCATTGTGGTATGCTAATGTAATAATGTCCCATGTCCCCAGTGACCTCCCTTTCATTTAATAAAGTTTTATTTTTCAAAATGTACAGTTGGTAGAACCTGTTCATAAAACCAGTGCTTTGAAACCAGTTTAGTAAGCCCTTCACTGAGGAGCTCCTGAAGGGCTGTGCTGGCCAGGGAATTGCCAATCTTCAGTCTCTCATAGACAACAGCTGGAGTTTTAAGCTTATAGTTGAGAACTTCCTTGCAGAGTTTGTCATATGGTTTTGTCAGACAAGATTAGGTTATTGTGCTTGTTCCAAACTTTGCCTTTGGACCAGTTCTTCTTGGCTTTGCCCCAAGATTGTTCACTGCGTCCTCATCTTCCTTGGCTAATGGCACTTGTCTTCTTGTCATCCTTGGGCAGCATCCTGAAGCTCAGAGAACAGTTGCTACTACTGCAGCCTCACTAAGATGTTGGACAAAAAGCTGGCCACTATCAGCTATAGGGTCCATAATATTGCTTAGTTTCTTCTGTACATTAAAGGTGTTTTTCTTATGAAGTTCTAGTTGTTTACCCTGAGAAAAGACAAAATGAGGGTTAAATTGGAAGAAGGCAGACTTATCTCTTCTTTATTCCTGAACTTAAAAAAAAATGTTTACTTATATTCTTCTTAAAATTAGTTTTAATTATATATACATACACACACATATATATAAAATACCATTTATAAAGTGTTTCTTAAGTGTGTTTAATTTCAAAGTCATAAATCCTCTTAGAAAGGTAGATGTTATGGCAGCCAACATTTTTATTTCTGGCTGTTGTATCGTAAATCCTAGTAGTCATCTTTTTAAATTTCCGATTGCTACCTATTGTCATCAGGTTGGCAGGCTTTAGGATTGGCTTGTTTTGCTTAGGTGATTCCCAGATAAGAGTGGTAATAATTAACACAATTCAAGTTAGAATGGAAGAAATTCCAGTTGAACTATAGCAAGTAGCTTCACTCATAAGTTGCCCTGATTTAAATCAAAACTTAAGAGTCCTCTATTTTATTTCTAAATTTTTTAAATTGAATTTATTGGGGTGACAGTGGTTTGCAAAACCGTACAGGTTTCAAGTGTACAGTTCAATAAAACATTATCTACACCCTATATCGTGTGTCCATTGCCCCAGGCAAAGTTTCTTTTTGTTCCTATTTTCCCCTTCTTTGCCCACCTCCATCTACCCCCCACTCCCTTTCACTCTGCCTATCACCACACTGTCATCAGTGTCTATATGTTATACATCTATGGTTTTTGGTTAATCCCTTAACCTTTTTTCTTCCAACCCCCCCTCCCCTCTGACAGCTGTGAGTCTGTTCCATGTATCCATGCCTTTGTTTCTATTTTGTTCATCAGTTTATTTTGTTCATTAGATTCTATATATAAAGGAGATCATATGGTATTTGTCTTTCTCTGACTGGCTTATTTTATGTAATATAATAATCTCCAGGTCCATCCATGCTGTCACAAAACATATGATTTCCTTTTTTTCTTCTTATGGCTGAGTGGTAGTCCATTGTGTACATAAATGCACCACAGCTTTTTCATCCACTCATCTACTGATGGGCGTTTGGGCTGTTTCTAGACATTAGCTATTATGAATAATGCTGCAGTGAACATAGGGATGCATATACTGTATTTTTCGAATTAGTGTTTTGGGTTTCTAGGGATATATTCTTTTTTTATAGATAAAACTAATATCCGCATATGTTACGCATGTTAATAAAAGCATATATGCAAGTATATTTCTATTTGTGGATGAACATCTTATGTATTACTCCAGCACTGTACATTATGTTTTAATGCTGACTTGCTCTTATACCACAGTTGCTGAGAGCCCACATATGTTCATGTTAAAATGAAGACTGTTAATGAAAGAGGAGAGTAGAGTGGAGTGCTGAGTAGTGAGTAGCTGCCATATAGTTGTGCCAAAACTTAGTGAACTTACCACTGAGAATGTCCAGTAGTACAGCCCTTCTCTCCTGTGAACTAACAGCTAGATTGTTTGTAATTTCCCGTGCTGTTTAAAACAGGGTTCTCATGTATCAGCCATCTTCTGTAAGGGTGCCCAGTGTGACTTCGGTTGATCCTGCTGCTATTCCGCCTTCATTAACAGACTACTCAGTACCATTCCACCACACGCCAATATCAAGCATGTCATCAGATTTGCCAGGTATGTGAAGAGTTGTTTTGTTGTTCCTATCAAGTTTTATCATTTATTTTTAATCTTAATCTGTGGAGCAAATAGAATTTTAAAATTTTAAATAGAAATGTTAAGGAAATTTGAAAGCTTTATATAAAGGTAGTGTTTGTTTTAATATATTCAATGCCTATCATTTCAACTACAGAGCAGATAGAGATTCTCGATAATAGAAAATATAGTAGGATAGTAGGAAATTTTTTAGAATTTATTTTTCTTCATAGAGAATTTGTACTCAGAGGCTTTTTCTTGGTTTATTTATTATGCAAACTTCACAGGTTAGGGAGAGAGTATTTTCTCATACTCTTCTTGGTAGCCCATCACAACTTAGAATATGTTGGTCTACTGTGGGGTGAATGTTGCCTACAGCTTTATCTTGTGGATTTTCCCCCCTATAAAAATAAGATCTACCAGCTCTTTCCCTAGAGCACTGATTAATATTTGGGGACATCTTTTATATGTATATTAACTCAACATTTAAAAAATTCAAGGCTGCTTGAATTACCTTAGTACCAAGTAGACTTGTGCAACCAAGGCCATATTATAAATTTAACCTCCCCTCCTCCTTCCCTCTCTGTATAGCCAATGTAGTTTTTTTTTGGTTTTTAAAAAAGTACATGTTTTTATTGATTTCAGAGAGAGGAAGAGGGGTGGAGAGAGAGAGAAACATCAATGATGAGAGAGAATCATTGATAGGCTGCCTCCTGCATGCCCCCTACCAGGGACTGAGCCCACAACCTGGGCATGTGCCCTGACTGGGAATTGAACTGTGACCTCCAGGTTCACGGGTCAACGCTTAACCACTGGGCCACACTGACCAGGCTATAGCCAATGTTCTCTCAAATGTGAGCAGATTAGAACCTCTTAATATTCATGACTTCCCTTCTCTCTAAAGGGCACTTTTAGTGGAATACAATTCCCTCCAATTGTTAATTTTTTCTCTAGATTTCTGAAGTTAATTTTGACCCTTTCAGGGATGTCGTTAAGAACAATATATATTCAATTGGAAAAAAATTTGTGTTGTTTGAAACAGTTGATAATTTTGTTATTGGGCCCAATTCAAATAAAATTTAATGGAAAAGAATAGGCTAAAAATAGTATCCATCAAAAAAATTTTAAATACCTTTTGCTCTTAAATATGTTTAGTCCATATGTACTTTAGGAATTATTATTTTAAAAAATTGTTTATAAACCCAGCTATCACCAGTTATAAAGTATTTGTTGTATACAAAGCTCAAGGCTAAGGTATAGGTGAGGTTTTATGGTTCATACGAAAGACAGAAACTTGGAGATTCTTAATTCCTAACTGCCATGTTTTGCTCTAACCTTGGCTAGTTCCAAGTGAAGTTGAAGAGTGCCCACATGTGATCTTAGTATACATTATAAACAAACATTCCAGAAGGATTTGTTTCCTAAAGACTTTGAATTAAAATTGATCCTGAAAAAAGATAAACTTTCCATTTACTAAAGTGATTCTGGCCATTTAGTAGAATAGGCACAATTTACAAATCACTTGCTCTGTTAGTTTTCAAATTATGTGATTCAGGATGAATTTTTAACTTTGAAGAATTCAGTTTTTCAAAATTTGGGCATAAATTAAGATTATTTACTTTATAAAATGTGCAGATTTGAGAAAAAAGCAGTAAAGTACTTTAATTGTATATTTTGGAAAGTTCACTTCAAGCCTGGTATTACGGAACTAAGACTAATGTTCAGGGTTGGTATTTAGCCAATATTAACCAATATGGTAATACTGGTTATTAAAATGTTGAAATGCTTTCTACCAGTTGATAAACTGAATAGAGTAGGATCTATTGTATTTGACAAGAATTACCAGTTTGTCATCATCTGTGAATCATGTAGCAGTTACTATATCTAAATAGCTTAGTTTTTACTTTGGTTTTATTGTTAATGGGCTCTTTTGTAATTAGTAATTACTTTGGTTTTAGTTTTGTGCATAATTTTTATGTAATTAGTCATACTGTACAGAGTTGATATTTACAAATTTAATAATTTATAATAAAATATTAAATAGAACACCAAGAACGGAGAGATGACAAAGTTTTAATTCATTTCTTAACATTCTTTTTAAACATCATAAACATGAATCTTCTGAATCTGCAGGGGAACAAAGAAGAAATGATATTAATAATGAACTGCAGCTTGGAACATCTTCTGATACTGTGCAACAGTGAATTCAAAATAAAACATAATTTATATTTATGGAATGGAAAACAGCTTGATTATTTCAAGAAAAAAATATGACTGCCTTATTATTACTAGTGACATATTGTCAGGTGCGAATGGTGCTCAAAAGCTGTGTCATTAAAATTTGAAAGTGCTAAACATTTACATATTTAATCATGTAGCAATCATGTTTTGTTAAAGTTCATGGCTCAAGTAAGGAAAATGTATTAGTAAGACATCTAGAGTCAGTTTCACATGAAGACACATTTAAAATCTAAAAGCAACAATTTTAACAGTGTTAATAGAACAAACATTTAGAATGTACCATCAGAATTTTTAACACTACGTGCTTTTTAGTTAAAAATAATTGAGCACATTTTCAACCATGAAATACTTGAGGGCATAAATATATGTCATTATAACCTATTGTTTCAATGGAAACTTATGGTGAAATAAGAAAACAACATTTTGCTAACCTTATAAAACAAGGAAGTAACATTAATCACTATTTATGAAACTTCAACTATTTCTTATGAGTTTTAATAGTCTACTTAAAATGTAAAATGCAAGACTTTGATAATGAAGTTTATTGGAAGGGATAACATCTGAAATACTTTATCATTTTAGTGAGTGAGAAAAAAATGGTTTTAGTGAGAATTATTTACATTAGAACATTTATTGGAGTTTGTGTAGATGGATCTGTGTAATGCTGAGGAGACGGCCTAAAATTTCAACCAAGAGTTCAGAAAAATGTCTAGGTATTTTACTATGCAATGTGTAAGTTACCATGTTCATTGATCTCTGGATGAGATGTCGGAAGATATACATCAAGTAAACCTCTTAAATTAATAGGATGTGTATATATATACTGTCACACATGAAATAATAATTACAGTACATCTAAAGAGCTGGGAATTGAAATAATGAAAATAGGAAGAGTCTTTGCACCTCAGTGGGCAGCCTTCAGTTCTGGAGCTGTAAAAAATAGTTTGAAAGTTACATCAAGCCTCTGTGTTTATTTAAATTGAAGTTGTGAAATGGGAATAGTTAAACATTTAGAAAATGAGCATTTTTGAGTGCTTTGGCTTGAATACAAATATTACAACAGAGATAGCTGTACTTTCTTAGCTTTATAAAAATGTTCTTCAAGTGGGCTGAGTGATAAAAAACACATTAAAAGTAATTGAACATATAAAATTAAATAAACTATAAAAGCAGAAGCTATTATAAAAAGAAAAATATTACACCATTTGAAGCAAAATAAAATTAATAAATTAAGCCAGTTAATTAAATGATAAGCCAATAAGGTATTTTTGTGACTTAGTTAATAATGGAGATGTTGAATATATAAAACTCTTGGAATGTATAATAAGGGTTAGACATATTTTGAATTAGTGTTCAACAGAAGCAGAGTAAAGATTTACTGAACAGGATTATTAATACATTGCCTGCTGATTACCAATTTAATGGGGAAGCTGGAAAGTTTGTTGTGATTCCCTTTGTCCATTGTTGGCTCAAGCCCTGTTGTATCATATAGCTAGTGACAGACATAAAGAATGAAAAATCATAATTTTTTTACATGCTTTAGAAATGGAATGATTTCTTTCAAATGATTGGTGCTACAGCTTCTATCACTTGATAAGCATTTTAAGCATAGCTTATTTAGAGATTATAAGGGACTAAATATACTTTAGATTTTTGAGTTATAAATTATTAATCCTGGTTATTAAATATTTTAAATATTCCCACTAATATTTTCTCTTTTGAGTAACAGCCTGGTATCAGACTTTTACTCTATGTGTTTGTTATTTAAGGTGACATTGAATGCCAGCAAATAAAAATTTATAAAATGGAATAGAAATTGACCTGTCTTAGTGATCTATACTTAGTATGGTTTTTGTTTGTTTGTTTTTTTAAATGTTTTGAAATTTAGTCTAACAGGGATGTCTAGGGGAACTGACTTGGAAGTTTATTGCTAGACTTTTCAGGCCTGAAATTTAAAATTATTTATTATAATTCTAATGTTTCAAAATGGTGTACTGGGCAACCTTTTCCACATTCCTATTTCTAAAGTTTAATTGGAGAATCTCACATCTTTGGTTTAGAAAATTGCATTGGTTTATAACCCAGTAAGCCTTGATAAGATTTAGTTTGTTAGTGAGCAGAAATTACCGAGTGCTTGCTTTGTGCAGAGCGTGGAACTCTGTGCTGCTCTGGATGTTGGAACACGGGGACAGTGAGTGCTGCATGAAATAGACATGTTTAAGAAGTGGAATTTTAGATGAAGCTCAATGTGGTGTACTTCTAAAAAATAAATGTGAAGTATCTTAAGAGCCTAAGTATTTCTTTTTTAATGGTTTGTATCCAGATCATTATCTCATCATTTTTATTGCTTCTCATTCTGTGAAATGATGAAGCGAAGAAATGTTTGCTTTGACTAGTCCTATTTCTCTGGAAATTTTTGGACTCCTCCCTTTAAGTCTCTGGGAAGTGATTTTTCCAGATGTTTTGTCAGGGAATATGTTCATTTTGGAGTTTTAGACACATTAAATAGCACTGCTTCTGGTATAGAGCTTTTCTGTCGCAGAATGGTAAGCACTTGCCCCAAATGTTTTATGGCTTCTGATAAATATAAAATGATTTTGGGAAATAATTTTTGTCTCCAAAGTATGAGACAGTTATTAACAAAGCATTTTTGTTTTAGGTTTGGATTTTCTTTCCCTTATTCCAGTTGATCCCCAGGTATGTATCCTGAATTTAAGCAACTAATTTCTATTTGATTGTTCTTATGTCATACTAACTAAAAATGACCAGTTGCATAAAATCAGGACAGTCAACTCTCAGTTACTTAAATTGATGCAAAGAAAGTACTATCTAAATATTTCACAGTTTTATTTGGAGAAATAAAGTTGCTGTTTTTCAGTTTATGATGTTTTGGCCTTAATACCTGAATTTTAAATTATATTTAATTTAATCAATTGGCATTTATTACAAGCATTTGAGTGATTAAAACAAGGGGAAGCAGTGCTAGATGACTAGAAGTTAAAACTACAAAATTTGTAAAACGTTTGTTCTATACAGAGAAAATAGCTAACGCTGATTAAACTGATTTCAATCATTATCTCGAGTCCTCCTTGTTTTTAAAGGCAATCAGGTTCAGACTTTGGGGGGTGCCCCAACCTAAAGTTGCTCTAAAGCAATTATTCCTGTTTTCTCTGTCGGAGATAAGAACTTCTAGTATGCCAGAGTCCCAGCACGAGGACCTTGCAGTGAGCATGGACTCCACTGACAAGATTAGAGCAGAGGCAGAGCAGAGGAGCAGTAGGCATGGGGAAAGCCAGAGAAGAGAGTGAAACAGAGAAAAAGGCTTTGAGAGAGGTGTTGAGAGTAGGAAGGGAGTAGAGGAGGAACATGGACCTCTGCTTCATTGGCTGCTCAGAATCAGCAAACTCTACAGGTCTTGTATTGGCCTCCTGTTTGAATACTCTGTATCTGATCTCACAAACAACACCGCAAATTTGGGCCCAAGGTAAAGTGACAGAATGAAGAATTTCTTCTTCTCACCCTGAATTGACTTTGTGACATCAGTAGATTCTATCTATAGCAAAAGTATGTATTTTTCTAGGAAGTGAATTCTTTAGGTGTAAAATATTACTGATTTTTTAAAATGTGAACTATTCTTTAAAAAAATTATCTTGGAACCTTGAGGATTCTGATTTCATAGTGCTATTTAGCACGCTTAGTGTCAGGCTACTTTAATTGATAAGGTAATAGAAGAGTGAGGTTGTGCCTTCAGTTTTCCTTAGAATCCTTAGATTTGTTCCACTTAACCTCCATACTGCCCCGTTATTCTTGTGCAGATATGTGCTGACTACACATAAAAGATAGAGGTAAATGGCTGCAACCGAGGATAATAAAAACTCAAGGCATAAAGCCTATTGATAGCAGGAGTGTAGTATCTCACATTCATTTTATAAATGAAGAATACCTTTTTACTACTATGCAGTCAAAAAATGCCTGAGAGGCAAACGATGTAAAATGTTAAGTTTCTGGCCTTTTTTCCAGATTCTTTCCCCAATTTTACTGTGAAGTAGGAAATTGATTTGCTTTTAAAGAAGTTTAAAACCTAAGAATTTAGCTTTCTCTAGAACTCTTTAAGAACTATTCTTTTTCCCCCTTAACCAATATCCCTTGAATCTCTTGGGGTGCATGGAATTCATTTTATTGGTGATCCAAGACACTTATCCATCCTAAACATGACATTTTTTGAAAGGCAGCTGAATTTTAGTTCTTCCACTAACCAGCAGCTCAAACCTGGTGCTGTAATTCCCGTATCTTTTTGAAGATCATGTAATCTAAACAACCTCAGTTTCAAATTCCTGTTCTGTAACTTAGTATCTCTAATGATAGCTGACTATAGAATTGATAAGATTGATTGGGTATTCTTACTGATCTTTCATACAGTCTGAAGATAAACTTAGGACATCTTTTGTATATACTAGATCTCTCTTATTTTACTAAAGTCAAATGCAGTTGTTTCTCACGTAAAATATTCTACGGTGATATAAAATAAAGCTTTTAGCTCTTGTCTCTCTCTCTCCCTTTTGGTCAGTACTAGAGTATTAAACTCAGGTTTGAATTGTTTAGGAATCAGCAACCAAGCTGGTAAGGAAACAAAGTATGAACTCTTGAGAGGGTATCAAGGAAGCACATCACAAGGAAGATTAGATTGGATCTCCTTTAAGATTTATTCTGAAATTTTGTGATTACGTGAGGTAATTCTCTGTCCTGGGCATCCCATGGTAGTGGTAGTTAGCTATGGTGTTGTCTCTATGTTCAAACGAATACTATCCTTGCAAATTACACAGGTATTGTTACATGTATGTACAAAGGAGTCAAATGCCACTCTTCAACTGATCAATCTTAACATTATTCCTCAGCAGTCTGATTGATACTAAATTTTGAAAGAATTCTTGAACTTTGCATTAGCATTTTTGCTCAATACCGTTAAAAATAAGTACGAGCCTTTTGCAGTGTGATTTAAACCTGGTGTAAATACATTTATCGAGCAAAATCTTTTTGAGGTTAATTAGGAGTCATGATTGTGGGGCCCATATTTATTATTAAATATTGTTGACATTTTTGTAATTGTACCTTATATTTGGTCACCAAGCAAATTCTACAAATTTTGAGAGAATCAAGAATATTCCACATTCACTAAGTAATATGCAGTGGCTAAATTCAATCCACCTTCCATCCAAAGACATGAAGTTTTGAGAAATTTTTAAATCCCATTGGGATTTAAACATGTGGCTCTCACTTGTGCATATCTAACAATTTCTAGTCTCTTTACTTAAAACCAATGTAGCCTCTTCCTCATCGGCATCATTGTTTGTTTCAAGCAGTACTGTCCTCCTATGTTTTTGGATAGTCTCACCTCACCCTTAACAGCAAGCAGTACGTCTGTCACCACCACCAGCCCCCATGAGAGCAGTACTCATGTTAGTTCATCCAGCAGCAGGAGTGAGACAGGGGTCATAACCAGCAGTGGAAGTAACATTCCTGACATCATCTCATTGGATTAAAGGAGGACTCACTCGATTCTAGGAATCATTCATCAAAACTGCTCTTTCTTGGATCTCTGGTCCGTGGAAGCTATTTTTTTGATAACAGTTACTTTGATATTTATTGAAATGTCAAATGGATTCTTCTGCTTTCTGAGACATGAACACAGATGACTGCAGCAAGAACCAAATGACACGCAGGCTTTTCTCATTCATGCTGTACTCTGAGCATCAGGTGTGTTCAGCCATAACTGTATCTTCTTGGGAGACGGATTTCAGTTTCATGCTACTGGATGGATTCTACAAATCAGTTAAACATTTTTTTTGTTGTAATAAACAGCAATAAAATTATGTAAATGTTCAAGTAAACTTTTTCTAATTAAAAAAAAAGGTGTAATCAATGATTCTAAAATGACAGCAACTTTTGTTTAACCTGGTGTGAAGGAAAAATATATGGAAAGAAGTTATGTTTGCCAAATGAGTCATTTCCACGGAGATTTTTCTATTTCGTTGAACTGATGACGTCTTGATAAGTGGCCAAAGCTTGGGTTCCACTCTTCTTCCCGATTCCATCAGAGAAAAGTGGCCTTTGTGTTATGCATTTTTCCCTGGTTGTCATTTACACTTTGATATCATTTGCTACTGAATGCAGAGAGAAGTTCTAGGATCTGGCTGCTCTTCATCAGCAAGTACGTTGAACACTACGCAGATTCTATCCTGACATCTTGTGTGTTATTTTTGGTAATTGAACATTCTCATTCTAGAGATTTCTATAAATTTGTGGCTTGCCATCTCAAAAAAATTCTGTGCAGCTGTTGAAGGAAATGTTTTTGGAGCAGGGTAACTGGAATGTTGTTCATACTGTCCAGAAATATTGAGAGCTTGGAGGCAGTGGAAGAACCAATTTAGGGGCGCTGGGAATAAAGAAGTTTAATTTGTTCCTAAGAACTTCTTTTGCTCATTTACTTTATAGAATAGTCAAATCTTCGTTGAAACTTTCCAGATTTTAGTAACACTGACCAAGAAAATAGGTTTTAGATATCTGATTATATTTAAAGAAAAAGCAAGTAGCAAGAGATAGGGACATCAGATTTCCTTTTCCTTTTCCTTTTTTAAAAGAAAACTTTCTTCAAACCACAAAAGACAAAACAGAAATGTTTGAATTTAAGCAAGGAAGAGATTAGAAGGATAGGTCTGAACCCCACTTTAAAACGATTTTCTTTTGCTTTGGTTGGCTTCCTAAATAATTTTCAAGTTCTCAAGGAGTTACTACTTCCCCAGTGTTTAACTTTCTCTGCCTAAGCTATCTCTACTTTAAAGATAAAGCCCTTTTTGTAAAATGAGTTATCCGATTCTTAAGCTGAAGTGCCCAAATGAAGAGCATGGATTTCATTGAGAACAGGGAAGCATTACTTCAGGGTTGGGACAGCTCCGGGGAGCTGACTTGTCAGTGCTCAGTTTTTACACCTCCTTAAGTTTTCATGGCCTCTGTGCACCTTTTGCACTGATTTAAGATCACGTGATTTTCTGTACCATCCCTCCTTTGGCTACATCATCCCCTTAATGTATTACCCTTTTTGGAGAGCTGCTTATTATTCAAATGTGGAAAATAAACTTCTTGCAGTAGTTGCGCCATAGTTGCCTGTTCTATCTTGTCATTAGATCTCCAACCCATGTTACAGTCCTTTAGTCCAGATACAGAATTTCTTCATAGTAAAGTTTTATGTTGCTGCTTTAAATACAATTTCTGTTAACTCTGTAATCAGACAGAAAAAGTAACCTGATTTGTGTGGTATAATTTGTTAATAAAGAAATGATGTATATTTGTTATCATTTTGTTACCCTTTAGATTCTCAGAGACTCCCCCAATTTAACCAACAGAGTTTTATAAAGTAAATGAAAATATAAGTTAGTTTACTTGGTTTTTGTAATGGATACCTCTGTGCTTTTATAGTTGTGATTTATTTCATTTCCAATATTTTATGTGAACAGTTTTAGTGTACCTTTTTGGTGCTTTCCACTGAAATTACATACAACTTTTTAATTTATCTCATGCAGGCAACAACATTTTTAAGAATCACTTTTAAGTTTATAATCTTAAAATTAGGGCTTTTGTGTATGTATCTTTGAAGATGAGCACTTTTCTTTATGCCTTTGGCCTTAGGACAACTGCATGGATATTAAGCTGTTATCCTGTTTTCATTGTGGTCACTAAGTATTTTTACCAAGACCCTGACTTTGTAGCAGTTGATTTTGCTGGCCCAGATTTTTTGTTGAACCAAGTATAATGCAGTTTCAGAGGAGGTCATATTACCTGTTGCTTAGATGTCAGCCAACTGGTGATTATGTGGAGTACCTTGTTTAAGGAAAGGAGCTGCAGTTACTAGTCTCTTACAAACACCTGCCAACCTGTATTTTTACCTTTATTCCCATAGAAATGTTAAAACATCTTGCTGACCAGTCACGAGTATACTCGTTTGTCTGCACTTACATTAAGTAATTTTAAGGTCTGAAAGCAACATAGAGTTTTAAAAGTGGAAAAGTAGCTGGCTTCCTGGACGAGTTCTGGCTTGAAATAGCTGATTAACAAGCTGTTTTAAGGGCTTTTCTTGCTTTGGTAACTCCTGGTAGTGTAATTGGTGCTGAATATAGCTTTACACCTATGGTCTGCTTACATTCACTAACTTTCTGACCCTTAGATGAGCCACTTTAGAATTTTACTTTCATTTCTACTCAGAAGGTATAAATACCTGGCATCTGTCCTAGGTCAATTATAAAGGCCTTGTGGAGAACAGTAGAGGTAAGTTTAGGTTATGTGCCATTTATCTGATGTGTTTCAGGAAAGCTAGAATGACAATACCATGATTAGAGATCTCAGTATAAATAAGTAGATCCATAACTCTTGGCATAAAACAAGTTTCCCTAGGGTAGGATCTTAAGGCGTTTGAAGAAAGGTAAGGTGTTGCATTTTAGGTGAAATGTTCCACAGAGACTGTTCTGACTGAGAGTCAGACCTTTCAGACATTCTGCCTTCAGATCAATCTTCAAGACTCGTGATTTAGTGACCAACTGTCTGTTTTTCTTCTGCCAATAAAGTCTTTATTAGTTACATTTTGTCTTTTTAAATAAAGTTGATTTTTATAAAGCATTAGTTTAATTTTCAGGTATGCTGTTCATTTCTCTCTAGCCCCCAGTTGGTAAAAAAGCACTTAACTGTTTTGTGTTTTTTCTTTTTTTTAGTAAACACTCTTATTTTCCTAAATATTTTTCATCTTAAAAAATGTACAGCAGTGCACCATTTAAACTTGGGTTTGATGTATTTAGTGGCCCTGGATCCATGTGGTGGGAGCTTGGGGTTGTCATGTAGATGGGTGATTGACAATTCAGTCTGATTCTGATTCACCACCTTTTTGCTACAGTTTTACATGAATATGGTGAAACTAGTGGGAAAGACTACACATTTCTCTGCTTTTTTAAGAGTCTGTTGCTACTGTCAAATAAATGACTGGTTTGTAAGCTGTTTCGTTGTTGTTGCTAGGAACACACCTAGCAGAAACAAATAAAGCTGTATATGCCCATTCTTTAAAGCTTGCCTGATTCAGTAATGATTTTGTTTCTGTTATGTAAGTAATACATTCTCATTATAGAAAAGTTAGACGACAGAGAAGAGTAAAAAGAAAAATAATAATTGCCTACAATTCTATTACCCAAGAGGGAAAAAGCACTTTAGTATTGCGTATTTCTTACCAGTCTCTGTGCTACTTTGTACTTATTTTTACATAGTTTTATTCATTCTTGTATCTAGTTTTATTTGTATCTTGGTCTTGTCAATCTGAAGACATTATTCCATGTCATTAAAAACTATGTCAACCCTTATTAAGTGCATGATATTTCTTTGTATGGACGTGCCATGATTCATATCACTTTTCCCCATTGGACATTTTAGATTGCATCTCATAATGTTACAGTTGAGTGTCTGTGCATAAATTTTTCCTTAGGAAAAATTCCTAGAGGTGAATTCCTGGGTCCAGGATATGAACATTTTTGTAGTTCATGCTTCGTGTCACCTTTCCAAGTGGATATACTAATTTATACCTCAACCATGTGGTAGGAGAAGAGCTGTCTGACTGTATTTTCCAAGAACATGCACGATTCATCTCTATACAGGTATCTGAAGTAAGACCCCCTGCCCTTCTGACGCTGGTGAGCTGGGCTAACTGATTTGGAAGTAATTAGTAGAGATTTTCTTGGGCTGTCGGTATCAAACATATCTGACATGTTCCAGAAACACCTATATGTAGATATCCCAGTGATTTTTCACATAGTTTTATTTGCTCTATGAAGTAGCCCATTGCTAGGCTACCTATCCCAGCCTTACAAAATATTGACACTTGAAAATCATTTGCGCCTAGGGCTAGGCCTTAGTAGTGGCCAGCTCTCTTTTCAAGCTCTTCCTGTAGGCTCCATTTTGGCCTTTCTGAGCTTTCCAAAGCCAGCAGGACCTCCTGATCCAAAGGCAGTCCAACCCAAACTGGAAACGCGGTAAGGCTGAAACAGCTGGGCCAAACTTGGCTGATTTCACTTTGTACTCTTTCATGTTTCCAATCAGATCTTGGTGTTCTAAGGGCAGCTGTGGGGGAAGGAAAACAGATTGCTCTCTTCAGGTGTTTAAGGGGTGTTTTCTCGATTGGCATACCACATCAATTATTTCCCAGCTGCTTTTTATTTTCTAGTGGCTTTTAAAACTTATTTTGAATTCTCAAAGCTTAACTCTTAAATGAAGAAGAGTGTTGTGTTAGAAATTGGAATATCCTCTTATTTTGGCCTTCATCAAACTATTCAGCAAGCATTCAGTATGTTTGTGTGTGGAATGCAGTGGTAGAAACGATCTGGTCCCAGACTTCAAAGGACTTACAATCAAGTTATCAGAAATCAAGAATTCTTCCCTAACAGTGTGCTCAGAACTTTACAAAAATGTCTCATTCCTTACAGTAGCACTTCAAAGGAAAGTGGTATTGTCCCCATTTTACAAATGAAGAAACATTTAGGTAAGTTTTGCAGTGGACTTGGGAGTCTGAAATAGACCAAACCCAAAAGCCCTCTGACAGAACCGAAGTGGCATTAATTAGATGTGGTCTTTAGGAGACCGATAAGAGAATCTGGACATCAGTTATGGGGACTGATCTCAGACATGGCACAGGAGTAAGGAAAGGAGGCATACTGGAGCCATTTCAAAGGAACACTCAAGATCAGTGCGAAGCTATAGGAGTAAGGGCTGAGTCCATTTCTCAGGCCTGACCAGCCAGGCCAGTGGTGCTGTTTACAGAGACAGGAGGCAGTTAGAATGGACATTAGTCTTTCAGGGGAGACAGTGGTGAGTTTGATAAAACCATGAAATTCCAGAAAGGAAGAACCCATGAGACTCAGTTTTGCTGCAGTCTTTCAAGAAATGCGAATTTTTGCTGTCCTCCGTTTCACTCTCACTTCTGTGTATATTCTAGTCACACCCAGTTGACCACCCACCCGCCCTCTCTCCTCCCTAAACCGTGCTCAGCTGCATCTCAGCCTTTTCACTTTTCTCGCCCCTGCCTTGCCATAACAAACTTGGTTGTCACCTGAAGTGCTACCATAGCCTGCAGCCCTCTCCAGTGTGGTCTGTGTTCACATTCCACGCGTATCAAGAGGTGGCAATTGCTGCCCTTTCTATCATAATTTCTAAATTTTTCCCAAGGCCTCTGACAAATATCGGCCCCTTTGCAGCCCATGCCAAGAGGTTATATTTTCAGCTACTCTTACCAAGTAACCAGACCACTTCCTGACTCACGGAGGTACTATTTTCAGTATCTTTGTCCTTAACGGATGTTCCACCCAACAGTTTAGCCTGTGACCTCCAACATTTTGTTCTACTGAAACTCCCCACGGCCATTTCACCCCTTGCTTTCTCTTTGAACATTTCTTCGGACCCCTCCTTCAGAGTCACCTATCAGTCCTTTGACTTGGGACTGCATGTTCTTTTGCCCATTCTCACCAATTGCACATAGCACTCCCATCAGACGACCCAGTACTTCAGCGTGGTTTCTTTCCACTTGTGCCTACCTTCATCTCTACTCCTCTATTTGAATTTCAGAGGATGATGTAGGCCTGTCATCTTCAGGACCTTCCTCGATCAGACTTTCCCTCTTCCGTGTCTTTCACCTCTACAGTTTTTGGTTAAAATCTCAGTCATCAAGTTTTTGAGATTATTATGAACCAGGCATTGTATCAGGCACTTGGGACACAAAATAGGTACCTACTGTCACCAAAATGTGTACTCCAGTAGAATATGTAGATGAGTGAAATAGGGAGATTAAAACGCAGCAGTAAAAGGCTAAGCACGAGGCAACTAACTGATTTCATGGGAGGAACATGCAAGAAGGAGCGGGAGAGTGGAAGTTTGTCAAGTAGAGAGGACTGGAAATACAATGGCTGGATATTTGTTCAGGAATATTAAGTAGATAAGAAAAGGAGGGCCTTGTAAAGCAGTGAAAAGTCGAGTTCTCAGTCATTAACAGTAATGAGCATTTACTGTGGTATCCCCGTTTTATAAAAGCAGAAACAATCTGAGGGTAAGTTATTTGCCTGAGGGCAAGCAGCTTGTAAGTGGGGAACCAGGCATCAAACCCAGCTTTTAACCACAAGAGAGACCTTTCCTGATCATTCTATCTAAAAAGCAGGTGTTTCCTAACCTTATGACTTCACTGTGTTTATGTCTTATATGGCACTTACTACAACCTGTGTTTGTTTATATATTGTTTCATTGTGTAGTGTCTGCTTCCCTACTAGA